GTGTCAATAAACACATCAAATCTGCCCATGCTTCAAGCACCTGCTTCACATACAAAACATCTGGAGGCATGGCATTCTTTGTGAGTCCGGGCCATTGTGGGAGTGCACTTTCTGTGCGCTTCCAGTATCATGCATGTGCACTGAAGTAATTGATGAGTTTTTTGGTCCAAAACTCAACTCAGGTGTTTTGTGGCCTAGCTAGCCATACCAGGGGCTTAGTTTACCATTCAGTGTACCAAAGATCTACTTTACCATCTACCTGCTCAGGAGACCTACTTCACCAAACCTGAATTTCACTAGGGATTTAGTTCACCACGGATCCACTTTGACAAAGACGTAGTTGACCAGGATCTACTTTACCAGAGACCCAGTTCTTTAACGAGATCTGCTGATAAAGGGCCCTACTTCACCTTTACCATAGATCTGGCTTTTCGTCTAGCTTATTAGTTTACCAAAGATGCGGCATATCAGAGGTCTGGTTTACCAGGGGTCTAGTTTACAAGTACCTTTCAGATTGCTAGAGGACTACGTAGTTTAGCACCGACCTACTTCAGCAAAGCTCTACTTCACCAGAGAAGTAGAGCTCTACTTCACCAAGAGTTTGGTATGCCATCTAGTTTACCCAAGGTCTGATTTTACAATTTAGTTTGCCAGATCAAGCTTGCTAGGGATATCGTTTGCCAGAGTTGCCAGAGCGCTAGGTTACAATCTGGTTTACCAAAGGTCTACTTTACCTGAGATCTACTTTACCAAAGATCAAGATGGTAAAGAGACCTAGTTTGCCAGAGCTCTAGTTTAACAGAAGAGACCTGGTTTCCCCTTGAGCAAGTTTGTCAGAGACCGTGTTTGTGAGAGATCAGGCTTACCATCTGCCCTAGTGAAAGCATTTAGTTTAGCGGAGATCTTTCGCAATCTAACTCACCAGAGATCTATCTAATTAGGAAGCAACTGGTACTACACCATTTGGTTTAGCAAAGGTCGACTTTACATGATTTTGCAATCTAGTGTAGCAGCGAAGTACCTCACCAAAAGTCGACTTTTACCAAAGATCTAGTTTAACAGAGCTTCACCAAAGGTCTACTTCACCTGAGACCTAGTTGTGTTCCACTTCACCAAAATCAAGGTTTAGTAAAGAAAGCTAGTTTTGCCATAGCTCAAGTTTACCAGAAATCCAGTAGTGCACCAAAGATTTTGTTTACCATCTGGTTTACAAACCTTAGGTCCTTCTCGTCCCACTTTCTTTACCGAAAAGTGCTAAAGGTGGCTCTCCCACTGATCTCCCGACATTGGTCTCCCACTGATCAATCTGCCGTGGCACATACTTGGCCTCCAGCTCCTTGAGGACTCGCTTCTTCGCCTCAAGGGGACCCAAATGGTGCTGGTCCTGTCAGACCTCTAAGCTGAACGAGTCAGCTGCCGAACGTCTTTTTTGCCAAGTTTCGCCAAACGGTTCTTGATTGTGTGGGAGCTTATGCTTATCATATGTTTCATTGCTCATCCAAGCTACGACACTACCTTACAATTGTTCCACAAAAAAGTAAGTGCACCTCCCAACACTATATAGCTCGTGTGTCCAAAGGAGCAAATAGTCAGCAAGCTTTTCAGAAGTCGTGCAAGGTGCAGGAGCGTGACGTCTGCGCACCTACTATTCCTGAACCAACTCCAATCATAGGGGGTTCTTCAAGGAAGTTCCCATCCCCCTTGGCCAGGGGGAGTTTCCAATACACATTAATACAACGATACCACGTAGTCAAGCTCTAAGGTACAGGATGGTTACAGGTGATCCTTTTGATTTATTTTCGTACACTAATTTTACCTCGATTTCTATATTACCAATCCTTTAATGTTTCCTTTACATTAAATCCTGTAAAAATCATCCTCACACAAATATTCTCTTCTACACACATCATATCTTTCGGGATTGATCGGGCATCCTTTTCTATTCCTTCTTTATCTTCATGGTCCCTTTTTATCTCTTGACTTGAGGTTGGTCCGGTACAGTACAAGTGCAATGTTACAACTACAAACCGAAAAAGGATCAGAACACTTGATTGCTGTGGAAACATTTGAAACTAATCATTCTAGTTTTCCCTTTTCTGCGTACGGTTCAGCACGGTCGAACTGTGTAGTGCGACTGTGTTTCTTCTCTCTTCGACATGGACATGGGTGTGTAGATTTTAGGACAAATACATCCCCCAATGGGTTTGAGTATTGTTCAAGTCGTCCTTCTACAGGACTTGCCCCACGTTCACAGATCCACCTCCACTCCCTCCACTCCCTCCACTCCCTCCACTCCCTCCACCCTTCAAACATTTTTTCCGAGCCGCGATTTGCTCGAAGAGCTCACCACCCTCCAGGCGTTCCATGATCAACACGATCCAGCGCTTGGTGCGGAAAATGTCCTCAGTGCTTGGGCAGCTGGGGCCCGGCCCCCGAATCAAGAAGAAATGGAGAAGAATGGTCTACGGTAGTCTTGACCAGCAAAGACAGATTTGCTGCGCTGTTCTGAAGTGATTCCAACCGCAAAGAAACGGAAGTGACAGGTGGATACAGGTGGTGGACTGGTGAGGAAGAGAGGTGATACAGTATAAATATATATATTTATATAGATATATTTAGAAACAAATGAAGAAGTTCCTCGGGCAACACACGTTCTTCTGCCACTAATCTCCATACGCCTCCTCTGCTCATAGCCAAAAAATACAAGGACAATGACATGCAAATGTGGGGCAGGACCCCCAGTCCAAATGAGGCTTCAACAAGCTTATACAACAACTTCTTAAAGTCCGAAGCTAGTGACGTGCCTGTCCAGCGCCTGCCCCTCTCGCCCCTCTCAATGTGCATGTTCAACGAGTAGCAAAGAGGCTAACACAGTGTTCCTGAGGAAGCCGGGCACAGCATGAAGAGCTTAACAGTTAACAGCGTTGAATCAAACGAGTTGCCCGAATATGCCCGAATCACTTGATGAAAGGGATGATGATGAACATCATGTTTTTACCGGCACCCAGGTTTAGGACACTTGCACGTTTGGCACTTTGCCATACTTTGCATGTCTTTTGGCAGCTGCCAGTTTGAACCTTTCTGCCACGGCGCGTGCTCAGCATTTCTCAGTATCCTGACCTGCACTGCCCGAAAACACAAATCCGAACAGCCAAAAACACACATGCAAAAGTCACGTTTTGCCCATCGTCTCGTTTCCTCCTTTCCCACCTCACTCTCTAATTTCTTCACCACTTCATCAGGATCTTCAGCCAGCAGAATCAGGCGTTGGCTGTCCACCACCTGCAAGGCTGTCAAGGATGTTCACAAACTGAAAGTGGATGACACCAGTATATATATATATATATAGCTACTAGGTTGGAGGCCATCGCTATTAGGTTGGAGGTCATTATATACTACTTGTAGCAAGAAGCTACCAGTAGCTAGAAGCATATATACATAGTTTATCATAGCGGTCATAGTCATTCTACCCCTTGTTACCTCTGCCAAAGGAAAACTCTGCTTGTCGCCCAGTCACAGTGGTATCGAGCTGGGGGAGTCGAGCTGATGACTAATCCGCAGGGGGAGTTTTTGAGACCTGCCCAGTTACTTGTCAAAGCAATCTGAATCGGCCACCGACCAGCCTTGGCAGCTAAACGACGCCCGGGGGATTGCAATTGATGACAAGCAAACACCTGCCACAGGACGAGAAGGGAAAACAACATTGTTTTACCACTTGCACTTGTATGTGGTCAGTATATGTCAGTATGGCATCTCAAGGGCTCAAAGTCTGGCAACCTTAGCGGTTGGCTCTTCCTTCACGGAAGCTCAAAGACAAAAATACCACATAATATAGACCAGGCTAGATCAAGCTACAATCATCAATTATTTGCCAGAAGCATTCTGGTCTGGATTTCTTTGATAGGAACAGCAATAATCATGCATGGTGGGGTCGGGTCAAGACATCAATCTCCTGTGTGGTCTGTGGGTTTTTGATTATCCATCCACAACTGGATTCGGCTGGATAGTCTGAAGTAGCCTGCAGTAGCATGCATCGGGATGGCCTGATGTTTCTATATGTTTCTCGTGGTTGGTGTTGTTTTCTGTGTCTTTCGTAGTTGCCTGACCCTGTGCTCCAGTGCCAATGACCTCCTCCATCTCGACATAGTCACCTTGGGCACCGAGAGAAACAAGTTTCCGAGGAAGGGCCAAGCAGCCCAACGAAAAATACAAACATCTGCTTGTGTTTCTGTTTTAAAGCCCGGCGGGGGTAGGTCGCTAGAGGTAGCTAGGTAGCTAGAGGTAGCTAGTAGGAACTGAGGTAGCTGTAGCTACTACCTGCAAGTGTGCTGCTAGTAACTGGACGCAGGATAGCGCTCGCACTAATGATTTGGTTTCTAGATTTTTAGGAACACTTAAGGTTGGATCCATCTTCCCCAAATGAGCTTCCCACCCTACCATATGCAGGCCGAGGTCACCGGAAAATGCCAAAGGACCGACCCTGCTACCAGTTTTGATGTCGTCACTCTCCTCCGTCATGGCGGACAGCTGCTAGACTGGGTGGTGGGCCATCCGACGAGGCCCTTGTTCCCGGGCGCTTTCGTGCACCAAGGAGTCTCTGCAAAACGAGATGACATGCTTGTTTGTGCCAAGGCATTCCTCTCAAGGTTTGAACATATGGGCTCTTCTCAGTTTTGGATGCAGCTGTTCAGCTGTCCGCTTTATCAACCCAGCATGACTAACGCACAGGGCACCTCCAGCTGTTCAAGCAAGCATGTTTCTTTTCAGCAAAATTCACGCTTCTGGCCAAACATGCACTGTTGGGAGCGTGTGTGCTCGGTCTCCGGAGCAAAGTCTGCTGTTTCATGCTCAAATGCAGGGGCATTCCTGTGTCATTGCAGCCCCTAGCTTCAAGCAGTTGCAAAGCCTGAACGGCTGCGACCCATGGCTTGAGGCCAGCTGTGCAAAATGGCTCTCACACTGGAGACTACAGGACATGATGGGACAGGTTCGCGACAAGCCTCTGACTTCGTCAACAACTCATCCATCCTGTTGCTCTGGGCAGGTCGCAGGGCGCCTGTGCCACAGCTGGCAGGGCTAGATCTTCCGAGGAAACAATAAATCTTGGCTCATGGCTCTCAGGGGCTGTTTTCTTATGCTCCGGGAATGCACGTCAGCTCAATTGTCAAGTCAGCCCTTTGCCTTCATTTCAAATGACTCACATTTGTTCCAGCCTCCGGGCAGGACCGCGCTTGGATAGCCGCCACCTTATCAAAGTGTGCCAAACTTCAACGGCTGTTGCTTGAGGTGCTAGTCCCAAAGTTGGCGACAGCTTCGGAGGCTCCTTAGACCTCAAAATCCCAAATCCTCCCACCTTCGGGCGGCAGCTTCGGAGGTTTCGGCGGCTTCGCCGACGGCGCGGTGCCTGCCAGGCTTCGAGCTCAGGTGGTCCAAACCCATCGGTGGTGTCAGACTCAACAAAATGATCAAAACGTAGTCAAAACCATGGTCACCAGTTCTGCCACTTTCAACCCGAAACACGAAGATTCGATCTGAGCGCAGCACCATTTTCCAGGTGTTGACATTGAAACTGCTTTCAACAACCATAGACTCATATTGTCTCATATTGGTATCTATAAGATTCTATACGATACATGACCGTATATAATCCGTTTGCTTGAAAGCTCTAGGACATTGTAGGGATACAGCAGCCTTTTGTTGAGCGGAGAAGTCGTCCGCATGTCTTGAAGCTTCTAAACTGCAGGGCTTTGATCACTCTCCCAACGATTCGAATGGCCAAGTGAACCAACGGAATATCCACCATGTTCAGCAAAGCTAGGATTCGTTTCCAAACTTGAGACCGAGATGTATCGGAGGTGGTGCACCTGGACGTTGAGGAGACCGTGCATCTGCATCCCCTGTGAGGCCGCGCCAAAGTCTTGCTCTTAGGGCAGTGAGCAAATTCTCTCCTAGAACCCAACCGTGGCCCAAATGAGGTTCGATAAAGCACGAAAAACACGTTTCATGTTCATTCTGCTATAAGACTCATCGTCACATCCCCTCTCTACTGATGTGATGGGTGCTTTCAAGCCGGGATTATACACATATCATTATCATAAATCCTTGCTAACCACCGGCATCCTTTGGACTCCATCACGCCTAGTGAAGCCTCACTTGGTCTCGATGGACTCATGAGGCAGTTGCCGCCGGAGAAGACAGAGGTGGTATGGCCTCCACGGACAATTGCCATCTTCGGGGGGCAGGCGGCAGGTAGGAAAGCAAATGCATGGAGGTGTCCTTTGGGGAATGTAAAAGGGTTGATGATCGACGTGTGGCCCCCCTCATGATCCACATGAGTCACACCTGCAGAATCCACACCTTTTCATTGCCATCCGGCCAGCAAACCCCAAACAATTCCCAGAAGCACCTCCAGGTGCCTCTGGTTTCCCCGCTCATCACTCGAACACAGGACTTTGCCGCGTCACTGGATAGCTTCCGGCGACATCACCTGGGACGTCACCTGAGGGAATCTGCAAAACCGCACCCTCAAATGATCTGACCTTCTATTCTCCCCACCACGTGGCAAAATATAAAACCAAAAAACAGCAAAGGTGGGATACCTTACCACAAACCTCCAAGTATGCGGTGCGCTGTTAGAACAACCCTGCAGTTTCATTGGCCTAGAATAGTGATTTCAGGGTGCCAGCGTGACCCTCAAAGCACCAACTACAAGGGTATAAAATTGCATAAATAACTATAAACCCAAACAATGAAATAAACATGTTGAAACTCCAGAAAAAACAATCAACAAAACCATGCATCCATGACTTGGTGGTTATCTACCAGGACTAAAGCTCAGCCGGTTGTTTCTGAAATCTAAAAGGCCAAACCAAGTCCGTCACCGTCGCCTCATCTTTCACTTCCAAGTCGGTCACCGGCGCCAGCAGTCTCCGCTTCTTCTTCGCCTGGAGTGCCAGTCTCCCAGGCCGCAATCGAAAAGACAGGTTTTTGTTGATGCGGGAGAGGTGCCGGTCAGCAACCTGCCAGGGAGCCTGGGCCCTAAGTCGATAAAGATCCCACTTGCAGTGGGATCCAATTCGGAAGCAATCTATATAGTTTTCGCCGCATGCATTCAATGTATTCTTGATTGGTTCAAAACGTGTTCTGGTAAGTCTTCATTGAAGATTCGAACCCTCACATGCACACAAAGCATGGTTACAAACCCATCAGCCTGGTCACCTGTGCAGAACCGTTTCACGCCCGGCTGCTCCTCCTCCACTTGGAGTCTTAGGGCAAAATCGCTGGCTGCGAGTTCCGAGCGTTGTCGCCAAGGCATCGTTTTGTGGAAGCCCGTGGGCATCACACGGCGTCGTGTTGCAAGTAGTAGGTCATACCTTTCTGGCGGCATTTTTGTGGACGCTGAACTGAAAACATTGTTTGAACTGGCACAAACTCCTGCTCACCCAAAGACCGTTTTCGGAAATATGTAATGTACAAATATTTACAGGTGGAATCTTTGTGCGTTGATGATCCTGACTGAATACCACCCACGGGCAATAACAGGAATAGGGTTCACTACAACAACAACAACAACAACAACAACTACTACTACTACTACTACTACTACGACGTAAGTAAGTAAGTAAGCAAGGAAGCAAGGAAGCAAGCAAGCAAGGAGCAGGAAGGAAGGAAGGAAGGAAGGAAGGAAGGAAGGAAGGAAGGAAGG